AATACAGTTCTTATAACATATGACCTTTATGTATAAACAATAAACCAAATGGTCACAATCATTTAATAAAAAGTGGTAAGAACAATTATTCCAACTCTATGGGCAACAACGTAATCTCCATTTTCTCCTCCTCGTTCAAATATTAGCTTCTTTTTCATTCTTTACTCGTGTTACTTCTCTATCTCTCTGACTATACTCACAAGAAAGTAGAATCAACGGTTTGACATGAAACAGTCTAGAAAATGAACTAAATTTATTCAAGTATCAAATGATTTTGAATTGCAGACAGCTTTCTCCCACGAGATGAAAAAAATATCTCCCTAACCAGAAACTGGCAAAATAACTAAATGCCTTTCCCTCTTTGTAGTCTCTCATTCTTCCCTCTAGTGATGGAGGGTCCTTATCTACTAGGTACACACAAATGTCTCTATACATAGTAGACGACCAGCTCTGCAGTCTGCATGCCTTTCTCCCCCCCCCCCCCCCCCCCCCCCCGCCCCCTCTCCATCCATCGTCCAGTTTATCTCTACCTCGGATGGCTGACGGTACTCTCGATTTCCAAGCTTGAGTCCCCTCCTTGTAGAAAGTCACGTAACACTTCTGTTGTCCATTGTGAAATGAGCTCTCTCGTAGCATCTACGTTATCTTCTGATTCATGGGTCATAGTGTTCGATGATGCTGCAACTGATAAATAAAAGGGAAAAGAAAATCAAATTTAAGTTTGTGACCAAAGAACCCTCATCACTTCTTCAACACTAGATCATGTAGCAGACGTGTATGCAGGGGGGAGGGAGTTTCGGGGGTTGAACCCCCCCCCCCTCCTCCAATTTTGTTTAGACTATGTGTGTGTGTGTTTTTGAGGAACCCCCCCCCCCCTCACTTTTTTAATAACAAAATAAATTAAACATTTTTTGTGCTAAAGGGTGACCCAAAAAGGTGACCTTACCCCCCACCAACTGAACAAAATATCGGTCTCCCAAATTTCATATTTTCGGGGAAAAAAAGAAGGAAAAAAAAAGGTGCTCTTACCACCCCCGGCTTATTCACCGGCTGGCCGAGTCGTTGTGAAATTGACTGCGTGATTTTCAAATTTTACCCCCGGCCCCCCCCCCCCCCTCAAAAAAATCCTCCATACGCCCCCGTCATGTAGATCCTCAAGTAGAGCTCATTGATATCAGACTATTATATTCAGATCCAGATCGAAAAATCTATCGTTTTCATGGCCTCTTTTACTTTCTTACATTTATAATTTCTAATTGCAATCACTTTCTAGGCCTAACTGTCGGCCATTCTAGTAGACCCTATTCCATTATCAATTATAGGATCTAGAAAGTCTATTCATATTTCATGAGACATAAATCTCATATTACTGTACATTTCTACCTAAAACACGAGACGAGTGTACTTAAGCAGCTTAAAAGACAAACAGTCTACTTAAAATGCACACACATTTGAACATACGGGACTAGATCTAGGCCTACATTTACTAAAGTTGGATCTCGGCCCACTCTCATTACGTCGTATTATCAGCTTTATTAGTCATAAAAATGAATAACCACAAACTTTGGTTTTCTTACCGTACAAATGATACTGGATTGGAAGAAAATCACTGCAGAATAGCGGACTATGTACAAGATTATGATGTTGATTCGATAAGAATCCCGTTGTTTGCAACAGGACAGCTGATCACGGCGAAGGTGAAAATGGACTAGAATTATGTCCCGGCATGCTTTGCGATGAAACAACCGTGAAGGCACGTATTTGAGAGAGATAGTTTTCAGACGTGCACACGAACACGATCACAGGTCAGTTCCCTCTCACATACAAACTATGTATTGTGAGCTCCATGAATTGACCTTTAGGCTTCGATCGTGTGTGCGTGTCACAACTTTCTCTTTTAAATACGCCATGGGTGTAGTCACAGGGGCGGGGTCCGGTGGGCATGGAGACGGGGAAAACCTTTGTATGGAGACAATTAAAGCAATGTAGAAAACTAATGTAATGGTGACAAGCTGTATTGTGCATCCCTTGCGATGTGAATCTAATGACAACACAACTTTTGACCTAGAATGGCATTTATTGCTTCAAATATTTTTGATATTGATGATAATAATGACATTTTTAAACATTTATTTAAATTCCCTCACTTTTTCTCACAAACCTTCATAATCATATTCACAAAACAGATTCACTTTAAATTGCCTTTACTTTTATCTTTTATAGATCTATATATGTCTGTTTAACGTGACATTTTGTTATTTATATCTTAAACATAAAGTGTGTTCTTACACAAAGAATCCCTGCAAAGAATCCTGTGAACAGTTTCCAAAATCCCTTCCCTTTCTTGGACTTTCGTCTCCTGACTTTGGCTCTGATTGCTCTGGGTGGCAGGTCATTTTCGGTCCCGGGGTTCAGTGGTTTAGTTCGACATCCACCACGGGCATGACACGGTTGCTTTTGGGGAAAAAACCCATCTTGCTTTTTATATTAATCACTAACGATGCTTTGTACTGAAAGATTCAACAATTTTCTCTCTTTTTAAGCATGTGCAACTTGGATGCAAAGGTAGATTAGCTTGTGAAGGGCAAATCTCTCGCACGCTACTTATATTTGTTTTGATATGTGACGTCATCGTCTAGTCATTTCCCACAGCGCGTAAGCTGGGTGCTGTGCGCGCTCGTTTATAACGTTGCTTCTAATGCATTTTTCTCGATGTTTCTACCAACAGTGTGTGCGCGTAAAGTAACCCTGCCAACTTCTAAGGGTTAACGCCCCAAGACATGCATTACCTTGGAGCATACCATTTAAAAGGAGGTGTTTGATATTCAAATAACACTCTACTAATATTGAACAATTCTAAATCATAAAAAAGACCCTTCCCTTTGGAAGAGCTTCTAAGAATTTGACACATTCTTTATGATTTGAAGGAAATAAATTTAGGGTTTTATGTTTCATTTCGTGATGTTCTACATTTGCTTGCAATGTAGTCACCCCGGAATCCTTTCTTTAATCGAGGATAATATTCTTCCTAATGTTTATTCATTTGTCTCATTAGTATTCATTTTTGGAATATTCACCTTTTGGAAGGTGAATGACCTACTTTTATTAACGAGGTTTAGTTTACGCAATTTCTGTTTCCGAATCAAATGATAGTTGTTGTTTATTACCAATTCTTTAAATTTCCACTTGATTACATGTCTTAAATAGACTGGTAAAGCAATTTATTTGAATATTTTATAATAGTTTGTATTCTATTCCTATCTAAGTAAAAGAAAGGAGCCTTATATTCAACATGCTTATATTATATGCAACATGATGCAGTATTCATTTTCATATTCTCTGTCAATCATTGCAAAAGCTCATATTAAAATACGACGATTCTCCATTGATTTGATAATACTTTTAGAACAGAACAGAGACCCGTTTAGGCTGTATTAAAGTACATCATCATCATCATCATCATTCTGCTAAATAAATATATGTTCGTCTTATCAATAAAATTTGTTTTGGCTGTGATATTTCCAAGCAATTTGCTTATAATGGCAGTCCTTCTTTGTCAAATAAGGCCTACAATTTTTTTTTTTTTAACTCCCTCTTTGGGCTGATATTTCTCAGTTTTGAATGCTTTGATACATTTTTTTAAAACTAAAAAACGATTTTTAAAATAGCCGACCGTAGATTTCAAAATTGTTGGGTAGGTCGCAAAGGGCAATACAACATCTTTTTTTTAGGCCTAATTCATAAAGTTTTTATAAAATATGATAAATTGATGTTATCTTTCTTTTCATTTTTTCTATAATAATCTTATCTATGATTGATTGTCAAAAAAAAGTATTTCTAAGATTTTCATGTTCGTTAAGTTACCGAAAATTGTTAATATTTATATGGAATTCAGAAGAAAATAAATCAAATCAATAAAGAACTATAAACATGAACAATTCTTGCTTGAAAGTTATCTGTTTGTTCTTTAATTGTTTTTGTTCGTTTTTTGTTTTGTTCTTAGGAAGAAATAAGGAGTCTAAGTGACACCGTTTTTTAACAATCATTCTCGCATACACATTGAACGACGTCCCTTTAATCAACAATTCGGATAGAATTTATTTTCAAGCGAGATATTTTTCACATAATGATGAAACGATTACAAAAGGCGAAACAGATTACCAAATTTAGAAGTTTTTTTTTTTTTTATACATCGCTTTCTTTGAAAGAAAGTTTAATGTCATGTCATGAACGATGTCCCTTTTATCAACAATTCGGATAGAATTTATTTGAAAGTGAGATATTTTTCACATAATGATGAAACGATTACAAAAGGCGAAACAGATTACCAAATTTAGAAGATTTTTTTTTTCCTTAAATCGCTTTCTTTGAAAGAAAGTTTAATGTCATGTAGGCCTATGGATAATAATAACTGGTTTTTATTCAACGTCGATATTGCAGTCACTCTTAGCACAATTTAATAACAAACTGATAATTGCAACGACAGCATCCTACCTAATGGAGCAATGAATTAAAATGAAGCTAAACATCATGGCATAGAACGTTTTCTTTTATAAGCGTAAAGAAAAAAGCGTAGATGCAGTAAAAAAAAAAAAAAAAAAAAAAACTGTCAAAAAAAGGTGACAAAGATGGTAGGGAGCGAGGGAATGCGAAGTAGCTAGAGAGAGAGAGAGAGAGAGAGAGAGAGAGAAAATGTAGGAAATAGTGTGGGAAAGAAGAGGGGATACATAGTGGTATAGGATACATTGATACATACGTACAGTATATCAAAAATTAGAATTAATAGACAATGAGAAGTAAAACAAATGCAAACATACATTGCTCAATCAACTATTTCTTGAACTTCATTTGGAGTACATTAAGGGAAGCAGCATTAAAACCATCAACAAATTTTACAGAGTTTAATTTCAGTAATACGTTTTCAAATTCTTGCAGGAGGTCTACCAAGTTAAGCATTTACAATCATTTGTAATAATTACATAGCCGGAAATGTCACTATCATAGACGTATTCACAAAAGTTGTCTTTATAAAAAGCTAGAGGTTTACTGAAATACAACTGTAGAACGTTTTATTTTAATTTTCTACATCTGTATATAATCATTTTTTAATTTTGTTTCAACATACAAATTATGAATGTTATATTACTCTGTAATGATAATTATGCATGATATTCGAGAGATATGCCATTTGCGAGGTATTTAATTAATGCCCAGAAAAGCACGTGTCATCACGAACTTAATGTCTCTTTAGTCTTCTTCTTCTTTAACATCATTCATCATTCTCCTCTCTTTTTTCTTCTTTCATCTCCTCCTCTCCCTTCTCCCTGTTCGTCTTTCTTCTCCTCTTTCTAAGCTTCGATTTCTCCCTCAGTCTGCAGACGGCTGTATCCTTTAGAGGCTTTAGAACGTGATCTCAACTTTTTCACCGTTACCATAGCAACCATGGTGATGAAGAAACCAGCGGCTGCCACTAGCATCATGTTGACAGGGTTCGCCAACCATGATGTGTCTGGAGGAGAGAAAAACAACGAGTTAACTCGATAGTTTTTAAAGTAACAGTTTTTATTCTTCTCCACTCTGAATGTTTTGTGATCAAAATTGTTTTCTTGTTCGTTAATGTTCTTTTTGTCCCGTAAACGTCTGAACGAATGATAATAGGAATGACAGCAATACGTGTTACTGTCAACGTAGAAACGATGATTGTTGTTTGGCATAAATTTCACAGTTTAAATTTGAGCACAAAGGTGGCGCTATTTCAACAAAACTATTAAGAGATTCTATCATAATTTATACGTTATCATAATGTTTTAAATAATATAGACAAAGGGAGAAACTGATGATCATTTAGACCTAGTTACTGTTCTTTTTTAAAAATATCATTTTTATTAAAATCACCTTTCTATTTTTCCCCTCCCCCCCCCCCCCCCCCCCCCCCTCTTTATTTTCTATTTTTTATTCATTTATTCATTTATTTTATTTTTTATTTTATTTTTTAATATATATATATATAAAATATATATATTTAATTTTTTTTTTTTTTTTTTTTGGGGGGGGGGGAGGATTAGTGTGCTTTGTTGTTTAGAAGCTGATGATAACACTATTCTGATAATGTTATCATCGCCCCTGTTTTCGAGTGCAACTCACCCATTGAGCTTGAACCAGCAGCTGCGTGATCAGACATGGGTCCGTTAGAGATGGTGTGTGGCTTGGAGCTCGAACCCCGAGGCTGCCCGGCTGCGCTACGTTTGGCCCTGGTTACACAACCCTGTGAGCAGCGGGATGCGGGGTCGGTATCACAAACAAGCACGTCGCAATGAAGGTATACCTGTATATTGATAGGATGATCAAAGGTTACAGTTTAATCGTCAATAATGAAAATATAGCAGTTAACGTCTTTTTCAACAATGTCTTTTTCAGCTATGTCTTTTTCAGCTATACGGCGTCGTCGACGTTTTCCTTGAAAAGGGGTGTTTTTCAAACACTGAAAAGGGTAGCTTTACCCCACAGGTTTCGACGTTTTCTTACATTAAACCGTTAGAGTAAATTCAGAAAAGGTGCGATACATAGTTTTATGTATGCCATTACGATCATTTCAGTAAAGGTGCGATACGCCATTCGGGTCCATTTCAGAGGTTGATGGACACATACGGCAGAGAAGAACTTGTGTATGAGAGTGACCCCCCCCCCCCCAAGTGAAAACAAGCCAGACCTGACTTAAAATACCCCTATAGGTGCAGTTTGAATGTTGCAAGAAGTTAAGCAGGCCTTAAACTGGATTTTAAGTTAAACCGGACTTCAGAAAGTGGAATCTAAAATTCCAGTTTTACGGGCCGATTTAGATTGGACTTAGACCACACTTTAAAACTGGTTTGATATAAACCGGAGTACAGAATCCGAGCTTCTCTGTTTAAAATGTTGTAGTTGGCTTGAGTATTAAAAGCGCAGGGGCGTGTCCAACTAGGATTGAAGCCATTAATGTGCCCCAAACCCTCCCCGCTTGAAAAACTTGCATTGGTTCCATCTGTTTATGGAACGAAGTACTACCTGATGTAATGATTCTGCCATCCCGCCTCCGTATATCCATTTCTGGATACGCACCTAAAGCTGATATTTTTCAAGAATTTCCGAATTAGATACTATTTGTATTCTTACCTCTGGATATTCGCCAATGAAAGCAAAAGCATCGATAGAGAATCCTTTGACTAAACGCTGTATATCATGAAAGCCTACGGTAGGATCCAGTCCGCATCTGTGAAAGAAAAATAGAAATAAAAATGAAAGCAATGCAACTAATAGAAAATACATGTCATGTAGGAGTTATCGAAAGGGACTGATGGATTTTTTTTTAAATGAAAATAATAACGACAGAGAAGTAGAAGTAGAAATGAATACAACAAAGAAGAAAATAGATTCGATTGCTCGAAAGAGGAAGAAGAAGAAGAAAAAAAGAGGAAGAAAGACAAAAAGGTGGAAAATCAGGAAATTAGTAATTTATAAAACCAACTTTATTTAGAAATATAATGTAAAAAAAGAAGTAGAAACCGGAATGATGACTGGAAATAGAAAACAAAATAAGTAGAAGTTTATGAAAAATGGAAAGAAGATAAAAAAAAATAGAAACTAAATTGAAATGCCAACAAAGGTGAAAGACTATAGGACAAAAGTAAGTTTTTATCCTATACCAGAGAACGTCTTCTGCACATCGTATGGCCACGATTTCAGCAAATCTAACCCCCACCCCCTTGCTCAATAAAGAAAAAAAGAAAAATTAAAAGCAGAAGGAAACACTGACTTTATTATACTAACCCATCTTTAACGAATATAAATTTGATCGGGTTCATCGGGTAGACATCGGGCGTTGCCCAGCAGCGGTCAAGAAACAACGTCAGATCAGAAACCGCGTCTAGGGTCACTCCGAAGTACAGCGTCTCCCCCAGATACACCAGTGCGTCTGGGTCCGGTGCCGGCGAGGTGAAGGAGATGTCGGAGTAGCGGTCGAGAGTGAGCGAGAAGTTACCGAAACCGGTCTCACTGAAGCTCACGATTCCGAGTTTGGGCTTGAAGGAGCTACCGAGTAGACTGCGGCGTTTGATCTCGCAAGTGACGGGAATCTTGAGGCGGAAATCACGCGTGATCAGCGATCCGTTTTCACCCGTCGGTTTGAAGTACGTCACGACGTTGGAGTATTTGATGACATCATCAGTTTGCTTTGGAGAAAAAATTGGAAGAAGATAACAAGAATATCAAGTTATATTGAGTTGGCAATGAATAGCCTACAATGACGATATAGGGCCTTTTAATAATCTGGCAATATGGTACACATGAAACTATTTTCGCTCAATAATCTTATTAAAAAAAAGGGGAACTGCCCCCGGCCCTCGGAAACAGGACAGCACAACATTGCGTTGTTCATGTGCAGCGTTTAGCGTCTATAATTATAAGTAGTGACGTATCCAGGCCGCGGCTCCAGGGGGAGGGGGGGGGGGGGGGGGGCAAAACATCTCAACCAAAGCCGGTATTGTCCCCTATCCCTGTTTTTAGGTTCAATAAATTACATATATTTTGCAGTATAATTTTATGTACAACACGCGGGTTGTCCAGATACCAGTTTAGGGGGCCACCATCTAAAAAGCAAACCACACCACACCCCCCCCCCCCCGTACATCACAAGTAAGATGTTTGTTTCCTAACATTACAGGGCAGGTTATAAAGATTCCTTTCTTACCTCTGACACTGTATCACAGTCGTCATATCTGGTGGTGACCGCTATGCGACTTCCGGTGTAGTCGTAGCCGACACAGCTCTGGTCTTCGTAGTGAACGTCAGTGGCATCACCGTTATTCTCGAGCAGGGCTCGGTCGAGGAGTACCGTCATGGTTGTGCTCTCACAAGATACGCTGGCTCCTGATGTGGATTATTTTGGTGGCCATCGGAGAAAATTCAGATTGAAATTCAGATTAACAATTTAAATTTAAAGCCCCACTGCGCGACTTATAGGTACTTGCGCCCTCTATGTAGCAAAAAATGCCTAAGTGGTGGTCATTGGTCCCCCATGGTCCCCTTTTTCTTAATATGTTAAAATATTGAGAGCTGATTTGATGACGTAACCACCTGTCAGTGACCATGCAGGGAGGTCTAATCCCTCCTGGCCAAACTAGTGGAGATAGGCTCCGAAATTAAATTCCAATTACAGCACGGGGAAAAGTACCCCTCCCCCTGCCTTGAAAAAAATGATCCATTTTAGGCGCTCTGATCAAACCTTATCATTTGCCCGTGGATGTCGGATTGCTAATCCTATTTCTTAGTTCTTACTCTTCTGATAGAATATGTGACGTTTTAGTTAAGGAAATCGTCACAATGCACGTGACGGAGATTAATAATATCAGTACTTCATTGATCTTACCTGCAGGGGTGATGGTGGTGGGGTCTGGTTGTGGATCAGCTGGAAGGGGAAAATTGATAAGGCATAAATTATAAAACTGTTATGATGTCAACCTATGCTGACATAATGGAATCCGATTAAAGCTTGAAATACATGACTAAATGGTCTCTTGTCAGTAGCGTTGGATAATACAAGAATATTCGCTGTACAATCGTTAGAAGTCAGTAATCTGAATCTTCCATTATGAACTTGTTCATCTACTCGTTATTTTCAATACAATACACACTTGTACACATGCATAGTTTTTTGCCCTTTTTTCTTGTCGCTTAGAAGCCCCCATAATTTTCTCTCTGCAGCTATCTTCTCCTTCTTTTTTTCTGTCTAATCGATTTTTTTTTAGGGGGGGGGGGGTGATATCTTTTCCCAGTATAATTACACTGTACGAAAAATCGGTTAAGATTTTACCCATTGTAAGTTTTGAATAGGAAGATGCATGTTTGTTGGGTAAAGTTTCAACCCAATATTGGGTAGAATTTACCCAATGTTGGATATCATTTTACCCAAAAACATGCATAGTTTATTCCTTTATTTATTTATTTTTTTTTTTTTTAGAGAGTACGGTTAATGACAACTATAAAATGAATTGCATATAATTGTGCATTTATTCTTTATTTTGCAGGCCTATTGAACTACCCCTAGTGTATTTGTTAACGATTATGTCTGCCCCCAAACTTTTACAAGATTTGCGCATCTACGCACATCAGTGCAGTCTGTATGATTTTAAGTCCTTTTCATTTCATGAACATACCAATGATTGTATTTGTTTAACGATTTATTATCTTTCATTATAATTCTTACTTTTAAAAATGTAAACAAGTTACTTGATACTGTATTACTTTGTAATCTATGTAAATACAAAACAAACAAGTTTTTACAAGCATATGTTGTTGTTTTTAAACTTGCCAAAGAATGGAACTGGGTTCGACTAGCGCTTTTGCTATAATAAGTCCCCATTAACAACTTCACCTTAATATTAGTAATACATATAATTATGTGTATATCAATAGTATGCATATCTATGTCTAAATAACGTTTTAAAACCATTACTGTGCAATCAATATTACTCTACCTTTGTGTATCATTATTTTTTTAATTGTATGATTGTTCATAATTACAATTTCATTATTGGGATGTGTTGTTGTTAATAAACTAAAATTCATTTCAAAAGATATAGCAAATCATTTGGAAATACAAATCTTACCAGTTGTCTCTTCGTCAGTTATGGGGTTACTGAATGGTCCAGGAGCTAAAATATCAAACAAGTCACATACAATTATTATGGACAAAGTATGAACTTAATGGAATAAATACCAAATGGTTTACAGAACACTGCGTGAGATCAAATTCAAATATCATTTTATTTTTCTTGCTTGAATATTATTAAAACTTTCACAAACATGAAGTTAAAATATCAAATTGCAAAGGGGATGGGGGAATCGGGGGATGCATGATGACGAGTTTGCATATTACCTGCTATCCCAGATCGCCCAACCGTCATGGTATTTATTCTGGCACTTGTCTCCCAATTTCTTCCCTTCTCTCTCTCTCCCTCTCCCCTCTCTCTCTCTCTCTCTCTCTCTCTTTTCTCTCTATCTATATATGCCTCCCGCTCTTTCTCCCTCTCGTTTTATCAAATCATCCAACTTTATCTCTCCCTCTTTACCGTCCATATTTTGTAAAACATACTCTCTAATTATAGCTCATGCACCATCAGGATATAAATCCACCAAAATACGTGCTGATATAATACTTTTAAAAAACAAAACACATACCCCCCCCCCTTCTCTCTCTCTCTCTCTCTCTCTCTCTCTCTCTCTATCTCTCTCTCTCCTATGACTTATCAACATTCTTTATTGTCCTTTCTATAACAAAAATGAAAAAGTTGTACTTACGGTAATTGGTAGAATACCACCAAGCGTCAGCATTAGCATCTGAAATGTTTGATAAAAGAGCAGCTCAGTTTGATACATTTCCTATTAATGTGAGTCGAACGCATATTAGTGACGATGTCAGAAGAATTCGATAAATGATTTTTCATGTTTGTCATGTTACGAACTAACTAGGTACTCAACTAACAAACTAAAAAACTATCTAACATTTGTGTTTGTTTGTTTGTTTGAATAAATTTCGGCGTTCAATAACGTAGTAACAAAATAATTGATTGTCATATACATATCTAAAGAAATTTCGATACATAAAAGTTGCTTGTTAACACATACAAAAAATACACTGAGAAATTAACATTTTACAATTAACAGAATTTGTGAACACATGAGTGAGTTGCTTGGTGTTGACGACGGCCTCTGATTAACCAACTAATTAACTAACTAACTAACTTACTAACTATCTAACTAACTAACTAACTAAACTACTAATATTTTTTAAAGCATGATTGATTACCAATCACCGTAGTAAGCAGTGTAGGAATGTTTACACTAATGATTATGTATCTTCGGAAACTATGAGGGCTAACGGTGAAGGTATACCAAAGGAAGCTTACCATTTTCTGCTTGCAGAGAATTCCCCGCACTTACGACGAGCAGGAAGCATAGTAAGATTGCCTTTGACATGATGGCTCTTCCTGAGCTGCTAAACTTCACCAACAACCTCTCGACTCTTGAAGAATACACAGCTGTTGCCTAACTCTAAACGCGACGAATGCAACAGATCAGCTTAATCGAGGACTCTTTAAACTCTTGTGATCATCCGGACTGTAATATGACTACATAATATCAGTGAGCCGAAGACGTGTATTATTCTTAGCTGATTCCATCAACTCAAGGTTCTATCTCAACTTCGCGGAATGATATCAATATCCGTGAAAGGTTCAATCGGTGACTAAAAATCTGCGCATGCTCAGATCTGCAGTCATTATAGGACAATGCTCCAGAAATGGTAAAAGATACAAGGTCAGCATTTTAGATACATGTGTTCCTGTTAGATATTTTGGGCCATGAATAAATAAAATAAGGCTTATCGGGACTGCCCCCCCCCCCCTCCCACTCCGTGAACGGAGGGATGCCATGCGTGTTACCAAAATCTCCGGTAAAGGGGTACTTTTCACGCACCAAAGTCCGGCTCATACGTAGTACACAAAAATCCGACCCGTATTGACTTTACACACCGGACTTAGGGGGTGTTTTAAAAAGGAGGGAACATGCATATGCGTACCCTAAATATCACTGAGTGTGGGGGGGGGGGGGGGGGGGGGGGGGGGGCCGGGATCGAAGAATGATGCAAAAAATGAAAAAAAGAGAAATTTTAAAAGAAAAGGAACTGGCTTTTCTCGGTAAAGTCAGTTTTAGTGGTTTTGTTAATAAGAATATTAATTTTATTTACCAAGGGAAGCTTTAGCAAAACTATTGCTGTTCTTCCTGAGAGCATTGCAATCATTATCACCACCATTAATAATTGTCAGTTACCTATTAACACCATGGTGGAGACCCGGGTGGAGAGTGGGAAATGTGGATTAATGTTTAGCCACAAGTGCCAAAGGACGTTAGTGCTGGGCTAAGATTTGAACCCTCAACCCTTGGATTGCGAGTCAAGTGAAAAGACCACTATTCCACGAAGCCTATATAAACATTGATAGCCAAGGAAAAGAACAAAATCAAGAACAAGAAACAGGAGAAGAAAAAGAAAAAGAAGAAGAAGAAAAAGAAAAAGGAGACAAAGAGGAAAAAGAAGGGGAAAAGAAGAAGTAAACGAAGGAGTGGGAGGAGAAGAAGAGAAGATTATAATATGAAGAGGAAGCAGTAGGAAAAGAAGATAACGAAAAAGAAGAAAAAAGTGAAGAGGAAAAGGGAGAAGAGGAAAAGGGAGAAGAAGGAAAAAAGTGTTAATATCAGCAGCAGCAAGAACAACAGCAAATACAACAGCCAACATCAACAAAAATACTTCTTCGTGTTTGTCTACTCAATTATTTTCACAGGGATGTGGGTACACAAATGTGGTGTCCATAATGATATCAAATTATATTAATTGCCATACTAGTACAATGCTGTAAATCTAATTTTAAATATGTAGGGCCTACTTACCGTCACTGACTTTAGAAAACAGTATTATAACTCTTTCCTGAATGTGACTATATCCAGTAATTTCAAATAATTAACTTTGTCGGTAGGTCGGAAAATGTCGACAACTGAAATATTCATAAAACCAAATGTTTCAGCCATATTTTGCGTACCTCCTATTGTCAGTCTTGCAAATGTTGAAATTTAATTAATTATTGAAAAATGAAACAATGTGAGTGCAGTGAGTGACTTAATAATGAATGAATGAATAAATGTCTTCATTCAAGACTACTTACCATTTCAGTACCGTCGGCTCGATCCAACATTGATCTGGTGACGTTTTGCCCTGGGTTTCATTTCGTCACATATCACGTGCAGGTTTAGGACATGAGTTCTGATTTGCTTTGGGTTGGTTAGGGTTAGGATTAGGAATATTGGAAATAGTTTTGAACTATAGAGGTTTGTCTAAAATAGGAAACTGACTGAAAATCAATGTTTTTGTAAAATTGTTCAAACCATTTGATCAATTTTACAAAAAGGGCAAGAGTTTACTGTTCGAATTCCATGTCTTTGAAATAAAAACTTTGAAACGATAGAGATCGCAGATGTATGTCATCTTAATTCTTTGTAAAAAGGAACAGGATAGACTGTATACATACTTGACTGATCGCAAATACAATCGTATCTGTTATTTTATCTCAAGCGGAATTCGCCAATCAAGCAAACATTAAATAAGTCTAATCTTCAAGTATTTGCTTTATAATCTCGGGGGAAACTTGATTAATTGTTGGCGACCAAAAGCAAATAAGAACGGCTAAGTCGGGTCACAATTCAGAAGAAACTTCAAGAACAATCATAGAGATTCTGGAAAACTGCACAAGATGTTTACATGTTTAACAATTAACTGGTCTGTTGTTCTCTAATATTTTGGTGTATTGAAATGAAAAATAAACATACGGGATACAATAAACTAGCTAGGATTTTTCTTAAGTGTAGAATACGGCTGGCACCTAGAATACTACCTCGAAATGCTTCTTTGGGCAACCTTTTACAGTACCTATTCCGTACTGCTTTATGATCTCCTGAATTATCTTTAGAAATGATGACATCACGATATAGGGGCGAAACAGGGCAATATACAGAATCAGAATTAAGTTGGTCTCTTGTGTGAAATGGGAACCTTATCTTACTACTACTAGCAAAACAAAAGTAAAAAATGGAATAGGAATGGGAAATTAAGACAGAGTAGAAGGAGAAGAAGAAAAAGAAGAAGAAGAAGTCAGAAAATTGTAGGAGTTTTTTTTTCTTCGCGCCGATGAATATCGTTTTATGTATTAAAAGTTCAAAACAGAAGGACTGTCTATAACAGCAAAAATATGTTCTGGATCTCAACAGACACTAGGTAAATTCGCGGTTCACTCGGTGAAATCTAGCAAAATATTGTTATCAAAAATACGTGTTTACAGTCCTCATTGATAATCAAACTTAATCAAACTGTAAACACGGATGTTTCGTGACAGAGATACCATTGTTACTTAAGCTGAACTAGTTTCTTTTGCGTAAGAATATCGCAGAATTATGTTTGCGATGCCCCTAAACGTACGGAAAAATACAATTATATGAACAAGAAAAGTAAGAGACAAATAAAGACTAAGAAAGGGTTGTGTAATAACTGTAAGATAAGAGCACTGTATTGTATGGGTGTACGTGGTGTTATCCATTCCAAAATATATTTGTTTAAAGAAGACACTGAGAGAAGCAAGCATTAAAACAGCACGTATCATTATGTGATAAACGTTAAAGTGCTCAGACAGAATGGCGACACATCTGACTTTCTTCCACGTTGGTCTACTGATCTTTCTCTTTCAAAGCGGTAAGTACCCACAATTTTTTTTTTTTTATTATTTTACTTCGTAATATCTATCAAAAGTCCATGGGACAACACGAACATTTAAGAATGAGGATGAATGATTTTCCATAGGTGTACGGAGCATAGGGTAGAAGGGGCTGAACACCTCCCCCAAACAAAAATGAATAAATACACTAAATAGAAATGAAAATGACCGATAGTCGGGCTACCGCTGTCCCGTTTTCGGTTGACAAGACAGAACGCTTATAATTTATAATTTCTTTTGCTTGTATAGAAACTTTTTGAGATGATATAGCAGATTTATTATTTTATTATCTTACTTTGCTCGCAGAATTTAGAAACTGGAAAGTAGATATTTGGAAGGGTCTTTGGTTCTCATGGCAAAATTGTGCCCTACACCTCTGATGATTTCTTTTATAATCTTTATGCTAGCATTGTCTTTCTTTCACTTTTCATTAATTTTGTTTGTTTATATTAACCATTACCTGCATTAAAGTGTAACACAATAGATATATAATAGTAATGATAACGAATAACTACTGCGCCCCCCCCCCCCAATTTAAATCACTTGACAGATGTGTCTGAAACCGTCGCTAACTTGTTTACTTTCATCTTCATCTTTATAATCAGAAGTGAATAATCAATCAATGCAAATAATGCAATATATATTTCATTTTGAAGAAGAAAAAAAGCACGAAAATAAAACACTCAAAACCAAGCGATACAGTCATGGCAGGTGTCTGTATTACGATCCCGGGCTTGGGGAGACAACACCATTAACTTACGAAAGATAGTGATGAGTTTGATTTTAATTTCTTGAGCAATGATCAATATGTGAATGCAATGAGGCATATTCATGAAAGCTCCTGACTCTCATCCAAGATGTTCTGGGTTCAATCTTCGCTAGATTACTTACATCCTTGGAAAGGGTAATTTTGCCGACATAGTAATATATTTATGTTCCTCTCCGGGTACCCAGGAGTAATTGGGTACCAGGCAAAGCTGGGGTAATATTAATTGCAGGACTTGCAGAAAAAACAGTATTAAATCGATGTAGCTATCCTGAGTTAATAAGACCCAACGATTGTTATTACATTTTATATTATCATTATTACGTAGCACCTATAAATGCGGAAATACTTATTGAAGGTTATACATGTACATATTATTCTACATGGGATATTTCAGAAAAGGTGTACCATCACTTGTTTTTCAAAGAATAATAAGAAATAAGGTCAACTTTGCGATGTTATCATACGAAGCTGGGCGATGTGTGCGCTCCAAAGTTAACACTATTATTATTTTTATCATCAATATTGTCAGATTGTTCCCGTTGCATGTCAAAAATTATCAATTGATAGTTATTCGCTTCACAATAGACCGACAGTTTATGAGACCAATGGCCGTCAGTCTTCGAAACAGACAGTGTCAGTCTGGTGAACATACAGAAAGCTTTCAGAAGGCTCACAAGATCTACACGTCAGTCTCGTGGACTGCCGCGGCATGCCGGTCTAATGGGCTGTAGGACTATTATAGCCTTTGGAATATTTGCACCCTAAGATGCAATGTTTTAAAACCTTTGGGACTGGAGGTCCTCTTGATGTGAAGGTATAAGCATGATAATTGCATGCTTCATCTTTTATTTGTGGTTATTTCTGTGGAGATATTATTTTCTGCAAATTGCCTACTGATCTTTTTATAAGTAATTTTTTCCTTTTCTAAATTTATCAGTATGCAGTGAGAACAACAATGGCCAGCAGACGATAACGCCCTATTGTGACGGGTTTCTTACTCTCCATGACACGGAACTATCGTATCAGATCCGGGTGCCGACCTTTCCATTCGGCTTCGGTGACCCGGGAAATAAATGTCATTGGTACTTTTACGCTCCCCCTGGTGACGTCATCAAGCTAGAGGTTGTTGATCTCGCTATTGGACAAAACGAATCACTCACTATCTTTGATGGCAATGAAATGATCAGCGGGACTGGAATTGATATCAAGAATTATTTTGAACACGATTTCGTCAGTGAGAGTAATTCGTTAACGATTCGGCTAGAGTCTGGACCAGTTTTCAAAGGAACAGCGGTCCTGCATGTAATGCTCTTGAAACGAAAATCGAGTGAGTTTAAATGGCGTCCTTTCTTACTTTCTTTGTAAATTATGAATTATATCTACAAAAGTCTTTCCTAATACTCTATTACCAAACGCAAAATGTTACATAATCATAGTGTGGCAATTAGAGGAATCTAGGTTTATGTAGTCACCCCTCCTTGCATGTATGTTTGCCCCCCCCCCCCTCCCCCATTGTGCTGCGCTGTCGGTGACTAAATACAATATGAATATCACTTATGAACGTTACATGTTCAAAATAAATTTCATTCACTTGAAGTAAAATAAGCATAAGTAAATTGAATAGCTGCTTTTTTGTGAGAGACTATATTATATTCCAGTTTCTTCCACCCTCTCTCTCTCTCTCTCTCTCTCTCTTTCTCTCTCTAGAAGGTGCTGGGATCTTATCGGCAAACCCCAGCCAATGCGGTGGTGTCATCACTCTCGACCAATCAACGCCATCCATTGAACTTGAGGCGACCAATCAGGAAGCTGGAAGTTATCCTGCCTACTGTAGCTGGCAAATAGTCACGCCCCCATCAACCGTAGCAGTGCTCCGCTTTCTCGAAGTGCGTCTCGAATTCTACGACAATTTCATGGTCGCCGACTCGATGGGGAACCGGCTAGCTGAATTCTTCAACATCCATTCAGTTCCCTACGAAGTGGTATCCGACTCCAACCAAATCCTTTGTCTGTTTGATGCTCATGAAGTTCATTCGGCATCGTACATTCGCTTTGAAGTTTATTTTAATGGTGAGTTGATACATGTCTATACCCATGATTACGGTTGCCTAGAGTCCGATTACTGTAGTCCCTCGGAGAAGACATAAAGCCGTCGGTCCCCTGGTTACTTACCGGTAATTACCAGCATACACATGGTTTCTTAGCAGTCAGGTAACAAACATGCAAACAAACAAACCATAACAGGGTACTAATACTGCATCTATAAGCTTGTGTAGGGAAATGTTTATCGACATGTAAATATTTCACTTCTCATTTTTGAAAAGGTTTTTGATGAATTTAATGTGGATGAAAGAAGTGAATGCAAACTCAAACTGGACTTTGAAATCATTGACAAAATAATCAGTATTGTATAGCTTAATGTACGGAGAGTAATATAGAGCTACAGTTACGTCGAAAATTACCAGTTGTTTCTTTAATGAGTCATCAGTATGTAACTGGCAAGGAAGAGTTTAATTATGCCTTCATTATGTAATATGAATTTTGGAACCATCTCATCTTTATTACAATTTGATTCTTTTGCTTTCAAGAGACGACAACTATTTATGACGAGGAGGCTATATACCTCATGAGTGGAGGTCACATAAGCCTCAACGAAGATCTACCGAGTGTTTCCTTTCAGACCAATGACTTAATTTTGCCTTCATTATGTATTATGAATTTTGGATCCATCTCATTTTTATTACAATTTGATTGTAACTGGACTTTGAAATCATTGACAAAATAATCAGTATTGTATAGCTTAATGTACGGAGAGTGATATAGAGCTACAGTTACGTCGAAAATTACCAGTTGTTTCTTTAATGAGTCATCAGTATGTAACTGGCAAGGAAGAGTTTAATTATGCCTTCATTATGTAATATGAATTTTGGATCTCATTTTTATTACTATTTGATTCTTTTGCTTTCAAGAGACGACAACTATTTCTGACGAGGAGGCTATATACCTCATGAGTGGAGGTCACATAAGCCTCAACGAAGACCTACCGAGTGTCTCCTTTCAGACCAATGACTTCTCATCCGAGTTAAGCGTTTATTTCGGTAGCTACTGGTTCATCAAAGGCCCAACCGGATCCAAGTTATCCATCGAGATCTCGGACATGGACACAGGACCCGGGGTCTACCTAGACGTTCGGAGCGGTTTGAACTCCCCGATTGCCAGTCTATCCGGGAATTTTGCATTAGATCCGATCATGACGTTTGATAATACGGCGGTTATCTGGATGTATTCGCAATGGCGGGATCCGGGCCAAGGGATCACAGTGAACGTGAGCATAGCAGGTGTGTATCCATTATTATCTCATTAGAAAAGGCGCATTTTTAACTTATAAAGAGGAGAAGAAGGAAAAAGGCCTAAAAATATAATCATAGTGCCGACTTCAAGGGGAGGAAAGGGACACAAGCTCTCTGACATTAGGACAGATTCGGAAAGATATTAGACTCTCAAGTTTAAACATTATTATGTCAAATTAACAGTACTTTACTTTGAAATTACATACTTCCTAACCGCTGTTGTAAAGATACAAAATGTAATTACCCCCATATTCACCTTGACATATTTAATAAGTGTCATATTCCCTTGACGTCATTAACTATCATTGATATAGGAGTTCGAGACAAACTGAATTATTCCACTATAAAAAGCTTATATTATTAAGATTAATCATTGGTCCTCTTCGGTATTAAATAATGGTGAAATGTATACCATTTTTTTTATCGGTATTCGTTTTATATTTTTGTTGTTGTCCTTTTTTCTGTTGACATATGATCAGATGACTTCTCCGTGGATCCATCGAATACTCTCTCATCATGTGGAGGCTATATCACCCTAGATCCAACTCACCTCCCTTCACTTTCGTTCTCCTCCCCAAACTACGGGCTCCCAATCGACCAATACACGGTGTGCTACTGGTACTTCACCAGCCCGCCGGGCACAAGTGTGCGGCTCGAGTTCACCGACATCCAGACGCAGAGCGGGTACGTGTATGTCTTTGACAGTGTCAACAACCCTGCACCAACGGTATCGAGCATCGCCGGTGAGGGAGTCCTACCCCCTTTCCATTCGTCTGCAAATGGAGTCTCTGTCCTGTACAATGATCTGTCAGATAACACGAATGGGCGTGGTCTGTTGGCAAGGGTCAGTATAATTGATGGTAAGTATCAAGATGCAAATTCCGATGTTCATTGTAATCAAAATAGTGATTGATAAAAATTGTTCAAAATAAACTTGCATGAATGTCACTGAAGGATTATACGCTTCATCGCCTGCGGTATTGTCGTACTGCTTCATCAACATGAATAGCTCCGACTTAGGCTTAAAGAATCTTTCAGCAAGGCAAGTGAAACTTACCAAAACAGGCAATTTTCCACTTTGAAGAAAATCTTAAGTTTCTTTTTTCATGCATGAATGTTATATCGATCAGCTGAAATTGGACTCGTGTTTAGAATAAGTGAAATCATCATCAGAAAATGATCATGGTATTCTGGTTAAGGCTAATATCAGATATTCATACCCGCGAACACAGTCATGATAACAAGCAAGCTCTTTTGAAGGGTTTATAGCAGTGACGGAGCTTTTATAATGTTCATCCATTTCTCTGGGATAATATATTACCAAATCTTTCAATTCAATATTTGCACACAGCAAACACACCTAGACCAGAGACATCATGCGGCGGTCAAATCAATTTGAATGTCAGCCAATCTGCAATTAAGACACCTTGGTACAACACACCCTCTGCGGTCCTCGCTACAACACTTTGTTACTGGTACATAACATGTCAAGCTGACAAGGTGATCTCGTTCCAAGTCAACGACATGCAGACCCTCGACGCGTCTCTCACAGTCTACGACTCGGTAGCCGCTCTTCAGAAGGAGGTAGCCATCGTCAAAGGCGACACTCTTCTGACGCCTTTCTATTCGTCGGGGCCTGGTGTGACGATTGCTTTTGTAGACCTTCCGTCAAGCTACGTGGAACGGGGATTTTCTGCTATAGCCACAATATCAGGTATTATTCAACAAGTTTAGGTGCGCGCGAGGCGTCGTTTCCTGACGCTACTGCGTCTGAGATTATGATCTGAGACTGAGGCGGCTTTGACGCGCCGTGCGAGAGTGACATTAGGGACTTTCAGATTTGCACGTCGACATAGTGCACTGCTACGTGTGACGTCCTTTTAAGGCAATTTGACGTCATTTTAAGGCACTGGCAGTGCCCTAAAAGGATGTCACACGTAGCAGTCCACTATGTCGACGGGCAAGTCGAAAAGCCCCTATTGTAAATAATGTGAATGTACAGTGTAGACAGTGTATTGGATTCCTGGTGCATAAATTAATGGCCCAGATAAGCTTAATGTCGTACGTAACGAAATGATGCCTCATGGGCATCGGTTATGTGCCAAAGTCATTTTTATGAAAGGAATCGATTCACCAACAACTCATTCAATTTGCCGCCTACACTGAATGGATTAAAAATCCATAATTTCGATTGATCTTTTCTGATGAGGTGCATAAACGCCAGCTATATTTTGTATTTTGTGTTCTGTTTGGCATAGATCCATTCACATGGGACGAATCAACCATTATGACGTCATGCGGAGGAAGCATCAGCATGTATTCCACTTCAACCAGTCTGACCTTTACCACGCCCTCTTACCCAAGCCTCCAACCGACCGGATTCTTCGACTGCAGATGGTACTTCAGCGGCCAGGACGACATGGTGTACACATTAGAAGTCGTCGATCTTGACACGGCTTCAACAACTTCCTTCTACGTCTTCGACGCTGGCGATGCGGTCACCGGATCACAAGTTGCCGATCTTTCTGGCAATAACCTTGCCACAACGGTCGTTGGGTCCAAGAATGCCCTCTTTGCGAGATTCTATGATTCGTCCATGACTGATACAGCACGAGGGCTGAAGGCAAAGGTCACTCTAAGCGGTATGTGTGATCCCTGTTCTTATATAATCTCTTCAACAATGGGTCTTGTAAAAGTCCAAAGCCTTTTGTAGTTAAATTGAGAGGTTCTAAGGCATAAAAGAATCATCGATGAAAGTTGTACGCAAACCCTGGAATGTGCTGATCTAGTTTTTCTTCAAACCTTTTTTTTTCTTCAATCGTAATGAAAAAATATAGGTAGAATGAGGAGGGAGGCCCAAAAACGTTGTTACATTATTGGACCGGCAAGATCTCAACAAAATACAAAAGGACACTGAGTTCTCAAATTAAAATTAAGTATTTGACTTGTTACAATGTTATTTGTCAATATAACGTTTTCTTTTACAGTTCCTCCAAACTGGGACGACTCTTCTACATTTGCTAGTTGTGGTGGTGGGATTCCTCTAGACTTCGACACCCGAACCTTCCTCTTCACGACACCTAACTACCCGGACACCAACGGCGACCACTTTGACTGCCGGTGGTATGTCAAGTGTCCTTCGGACACCATCGTCTCGGTCCAGTTCGTTGACTTCCAAACAGATTCTAATTCGTTCCTCTCCCTTCACGACGGAAGTTCTATCTCTGACCCGGAACTGCTTCGTGCGTCTGGGTCTGTTTACCCTGCTGTAGTAAACGCAACGGGTAACGCAATGGCTCTCCGTTTCTTGTCGAGTCGGGCCACAACCGGGAGAGGAGCGTCTATCATTGTTACATTCTTAGGAGGTAGGTCTTGCCTTTGAAATTAGAAGCAATTGTGAGTACAGACAGAAAGTTAAAGTAGGCTTATGTCATTGCCCAAAGCAGTACTTGAGATAGATCAAAATGATCGACCCTTCGTTGGAGGATATCGAGTATAATTTATAGTGCCCTTGACAAAACCGTGATGACCTTTTCTTCGACTTGGTTCTGCTTGGTTATCAACATTGTCAACAAGGCTAGTCAATATAATATAAACATTTCTTACCAGCATTGACTAGTGTCGTGGCATAAAATCTTTACAGGAGTCCACAAGTGAGTACATCAACAGAACCAATCAGATGCCCCATATAATTCTGGTCAAGTCCAAGCTATGTTTCCTCATCCGTTACCAACTAAATCTACAATTTTAGTACACTTATCAGACTGATATTGTGTCAAGCTAATAACTCAGTTAAAGTTTCAATCAGTTCATCAATTAAATAAAAAAATATATTTTTATGTTATACTCACAATTCCATGATATATTTCAATGATAGTTGGTAACGTATGGGTCATAACTTCTACTTCCCCATAGAGATAATGATATATAATATACATACACTTGTCACTGCTTGCTTCAATCTTTGTTTTTCATTTTTCTTCTTTAGGGAATGCTCCTACTAGTGACATCCGTCTGGTAGGCGGTAGTGGGCCTCACGAAGGACGTGTGGAACTCTATCATGATTACATTTGGGGTACGGTGTGCGATGATGATTGGGGTTTAGAGGACGCAACGGTGGTTTGTAGGTATGGTTATTTCTCATTAAAGTGAAAAGGAAAAAAAATGCGTCAGGAGCTAGTGGACAAAATCTGTTGATCGATCTATAGACCTACAGAGTAATTCTTTAATAATGATAATTGTTAGAATTATAGTGATGATACTTGGCTACATGCATTATTTGTTCTATTTGTTATGCCTTTGACGACAGTACATGTAAGGGGAAAACGGCATGATGATTGGGGTGAGAGACGGAACAAAGTGATGTATCTAGTAAACTATTAATCGGCATGGCTCCCAGCAGTTTAGGATAGACAACTACAAATTTGAGTGGTAACAAGTCTCTAGTACCTGGTTTAAAAGTGTTGAACAATTGGTATCATGCTCCGTCATTTTTTTCTTCTAGGATGCTGGGGTACAGGACCGTGATCTCAGTCTGGTCCAGGGCCTATTTCGGGTCAGGAACGGGGCAGATCTGGCTGGATGATCTTCAGTGTAGCGGAGACGAGAAGCATGTGATTGAATGCACGCACGCCATGCCCACCGGCACAAACAACTGCGGACACTCGGAAGACGCTGGCGTTACGTGTGGAGAAGGTGATACTAATTCAAACCATTGGCGTAACATGGGGTGCCCTTCGGAATCATTTCCTTTCATGACCTCCTCCCATTTTAGAATACCCGACCCGGAGGATCAAAAAGATGGACAATAACAAAAAATGAAATAAATGTTCTACCGAGAAGGGGTGGGGCGTACCCTGGCCCACCTATAATTTATGTTAATAGCGAATTGAAACTAAATAATGGACAATGAATATTTAACGTATGCAAAACATTGGTTCCTTGTCGGGGTTTGCCATTACATTAAGAGCTTTAAGAGCATTGAATCTTGAGCTGTACAAGTTACAAAAAAGCTTCCCTAGAGCTGTTTCAAGAATTCAAATTAAAATGAGGTTGATGATCTTATTGTTTTCTTCTTTAGGTGCCGATATCACTTGTGAAAGCAACTCGATGACGGTCCTCATCGACCGCGTTCTCTTAGCATCCGGTGACGGGGCCAGCGACGTATCTCTCGTTGACGACTCCTGCCTTGGTTACGACCACGACAGTGTAAGGGTGGCGGTTTCGACGTCATTTGATGATTGTGGGACAACAATGGAGGTAAGATAAATTCGTTGAATAAAAAAATCTCTTACAATCCAGTTGCACTTAACGCGACCGACAACGGACCAACAACGAACCGAACAGACGATTACTTTACTCCAGAACGTCCAAACATCTTCCGGTTCCGGAGTCGATGTGTAAAATAGGACTAGTTAAGGTTTTATTTTTTATTTTACTTGTATCTTTCATTCAGACGCTTATTAGATTAAAATTTGGCCTACATGGATTGGTTGTTGTGTTGTCTCATTCCAGTGCTCGTACCTACTCTCACCCTCTCTCTCCTTCCTCCTCTTTTTTTTCTCTCCCCCCCCCTTTCTGTCACGTTATCTTTTGCAAATGGCAATACTACCAGGAAACAGAAGACAGCATCATCTTCTCTAACGTCATCACCTACTTTGAGCCACGGTCCCAACACGGGGAGACGGTCACACGAGATGCTATCCTCCGCATACCTGTCACGTGCTCTTTTGATCGACATGTCATCCTTGGCAACACCTACCGACCACAGGTGGGGGTGGTCTCTTTTACCGAAGTGGGCTTCGGGAACTTCTCCTTGGACCTCGGGCGGTATACGAATGCGAGCTTCGCCGATCGGGTGACCGATGAGTCGAAGATACTGGTCGGTGAACCGGTGTTCTTCGCGGTCAACTTGACCGCGGTGACTGATGTGACGTTGCTGATTGAGTCTTGCTGGGCGACGCCCCACCCATACCCCTTCGATCAAGCGAAGTACCACATCATCACTGATGGGTAAGGAACTACAGCGCCATTGGCTAACTGCAAAATGGCTACTATGACCATTATATTCTTTAACGTTGTAATACCCATTTACCTTGAATAACGGTATTTTAGGAGTGTATTCACATTCCTTTGTTTCCATTTGAAAAATGCGCAACGGGAATATAAGTTCAGCTTTAATATTATACAATATTTAGCTCATTGCCTAACTTTTTGTAACCTCAGATCTATTCCTATCTTCTTGCATAAACTTGCGTGTATTAAAACGCGACTTGATTTTCTTTGATTGCGAGTTTGAAACTTGTGTTTAATTTTTGTCGTTTAAACGACACTTTTTTAATGCAAGACGACTCAGGGATAGAGTTTGGCCACAATTGTTACCTTGTTGACAACTTGTGGTGGTGACTTGTTGTTTTAATGTTTTATAATCTGTATTTACATGTTGAATAAACAACCGATTTGGCGTTTTGACTGATGCCAGATTATTTCATCTAATTAATCATGTGAGATTACTGGATGTTCCGTTGACATTTGACATTTGTTTATAACACGTATCTGTACGAGTATTTTGACTTTTATAAATATGAATTGAGTTATGTTTTGTCTTCAGATGCGCTAAGGATCCAACAGTTGAGTTCTATGATGGCATCCTAAATAATCCGTTGATGTCGGCTTTCTCTGTGCAAGCCTTTGGCTTTGTCGGAGAATATGACCAGGTAGGAAAAAACATCGTAAAGTGCGTCCCAGAAAATATAGCACGAAACCCAAAATCAAACGATTATTGCGATAAAACTATAAGCTGTATAAATAGAATTCCTTTCATTTCATATATTTTCATAAGCTCATTAAGCTCATTGTAAGCTCGCTTACAATAATCTTTTGTTTTGGGGTTTCATTTTTTCTGGGACGCACTGTATATTGTTACTCTTTTCGTTTCTGAAGTTGTTCGGGTTTTGTTTGTCATTATTGTTGTTTACCCCTGGTTTGCTATTTCTGGAATACCACCGGCATTTCTAAGATTTAAAAAGTAGGGAATTAGACCCTTCCTGCAGCACAGCATTTTCAGTCACTGAAAAATCTCTTCGTTGATTTTGTTTTCTTTATTGTTTTTCTTTCAACACTTGGTAACGAATTGTTCTAGTCCCTGGATCTGCCTTTCCTCCATTCATTGCTTATTTCATGGTTTCAACAGGCATATTGTTTTCTTTAATATCCGCAGGTGTTTATACATTGTGAGGTGCTGGTCTGTGACAACGGCGACTCCACTTCTCGCTGTGCTCAAGGCTGTGTGAGGAACAGAGCAAGGCGAGCCGCAGCCTCCACGCAGGCTCGGGGTTCGAGCTCCCAGCCTCACACCATCTCAAACGGACCACTTTCTCCTCAACGTGAACGGAGGAGGGTGGATGGGCTCGGGCACGCTAAGACATCCGCAGGTAGGGAGTCACGTGTTTAGATGAGTTTGTCAAATTAGTAAAATTATGTTCTCATCGAAGGATTATTATTAATGTTTGTAATGCAAATTAAAAGCTGTATAAATATGATTCCATTTATTTTATATTATTTTTATAAGCTCATAGTTCGCTTACAATAATATTTTGTTTTCAGGTTTCGTTCTTTTTTCTTGGACGCAATGTATATTGTTGCAGCATCATCATCTTCATCATCTTTACCAACATCACCATCTCACCATCATTATTCTCATCATCGTCTTCACAACCATACCTCTCATTATCATCTTCATAACCGTCACCACCATCGTCAGCAGGAGCCGCGATAGCAGCATCATCATTAATTTTCACCACCGACATCATCATCATCATCATCACCAACAGAGATAAAATCAAATTGTTTAAGCATCAGAGAATGACCAGGTAGTGGATTTGAAATGAGGGACTCTTTTTTTAAAATATAGAATAAACATCGATTTTTGAATGTTTCTTTTCATCAGGTAACACAGATCATGCCGATGATATGAACAGAATGGTGGCGATGAGTGTTTCCGGAATACTGCTGGCGGCAGGGGTCATGATCGCCTACGTCACATTCTCGAAAGGTCAACGGAAGTCAAAAGGTTACCAAAAGCTGCCAATCGAAGACCGCTCGGATGATGATGCTGTCGCTAAGGCGTGATCAATGATCACAAGAACGAGTGTAGAAATCGTTCGATCCATTTCTGTGGAATATTACTATTGCCTAAAATATTTGAAAAATTGAATCTAAGTTGTTTACGATATTGATATAGAAGCGATCTATTTTCCATAGCTGTTTTTGGTTCGGAATTTCGAAGTCATGAACGTGTGATGAAATTTCTATAGATCAGCGATACTGTCATGAACAAATGGTATGCCTTTTGATACCACCTTTAATGCAGGAAATTACAACTAAGAATCCATTTTTACTTCCCTTTTGAACGCGATTATACGGGATGAAGTTGTTGTTGATGATGATGATGATGATGATGGTGATGCTGCCGATGATGATGATGATGAAATTCGTTAAATGGACTACTGGGTATCAGCTTATTATGAATTCGATATGTAAGGATTATTGTTTTTGAATTATAATGGTGTAAATTTTACTCCAATGTATAATCATATATTTTGGAATACACTGATAGACAAATGAGGACCATTCTGGTATCTCCTCAATGCATATAGATTATTTTTCTATTATTATCTTATTATCAGATAAGTATTTTAGAACATAAAAGTATGACACTTATACAGTGCAAGGGGTCATTTGCTTATTGAGGAATTTGATTCGGTTTGGATATCCCAATGATTTAAATAAAAAGATCGATTGAGTTTCTTTATTTTAAGGTGCAAGTTATATACAAGGCTCTAATCCTCAAGCAAATTGACCAACAACAAAAAACTATTCATCATACTTATTGTTGTCAAGATCTCTTTTCTGTTCATTTTTTTGTTTAAAAAAATGAAGTTAGATTACAAAAACCAATACGACCTTTTGCAAATCGTGCGATTACGTCAGATCGCAAACCAAACTCAAACTGATAACAATCTGAATTGGTCTAGCGCCCTCTAACGTACACTGGGAGCTGTGATTGTTCGGTTGGTCCTTTAATTTTAAGTAGGCTTATTTCAGAATAATTATGTCTCCATATGTCACGATTTGATGATTTTACTTCTTTATACAGGATTTTTTTCTTCAAATTCGATTAAAAGCGTAGCTACTACAGCGTATAATGACAGCAATAACCAAGACAGTCGAGAATTGTTTGCTTATTTGTTAAGGACAGAATATAAAATATACACTTTTTAGAAGAGATTTTGTAATTTCGTAGATCCTTTCGACTCCAAATTTACCTCTGTACATACATCATCATTCAAACACAGACCCCTCACTCTCGTCCATCTCCTCTGTCTCTCTTCCTCTTATTTTCTCTCTATCTAATCTGTCCCTCTCCCTCTCTCTCTCTCTCTCTCTCTCACCCTTTCTCTCTCTCTCACTCTCTCTCACACATACACACACCCTTTCTCTATCTCTCTCTCCGGCTCCTACTGTCCTCTCACTTCCCCTTTGCTACGATTATATCAAGCCCGATAGTTTTCTCACCCCATATCCATTGTTTCCATCCCTGTTCATTTCCAACTTGATTCATGTTAAATTTAGTTATCTTCTAAAATGGGGCTAAGGTATAAGCTCTAGCTATGTGTTCTTCTCTGTTGATTACCGCACCCCCCTTCCATCCAGGCGTGGTTCTATAATAATAATTGGGGGTCTTTGCATTCATTTGCCCCATGTGCCTCAATTCATGTATAATCATGACAAAGTCAGAGACGCGAGTCAGGAAGAAAGTTAGGGGGCCTAAGGCCCCTTCCCCTCCAGAACCGATACTGCGCCCTTTCCAAAAAACAAGAAAAGTTTCCGGTTTGAAAATTAAATGAAAATGGTTGCAAGGGACGAACGTCCAGCACCGTGTTTTCATTTACTTCACGGGCTCTAGGCGAACCCATATTGTTAGAAAGGAAGATGAATTTTTTTTAAATAAAAGGCATCGTTGAACGTACAATTTCACATGTGCTCAACACAGAAACTACATGTTTAATAACACAACGTACACAGATATAATATGACCGGTTCAGGTCTACACCTGATTTTATTACATCAGGACTATTCCGTAAGTGCACAACAAAAACAATACAATTCGTTGTAATATTGTGCGTTATTTCCTCCGTCTCCTATTAAAACACACATTCTCTCAATGAGTAGGTCTTAATGTATGTATTTTCTTGTGAAAATTGATAAGAAAGAGACGCGAACATATCACTTTTTTGTCGAAAAAAGAGAGAAAAACAAAAAGAACCAAGATGCATTCAAATCCCTTGACATCGGACGTCATAGTGCTACCGCGATTTTAAAGACATTAAGGTCATTCACAAATGAAGGAAGAATACGTAGTAAGAAAGTACTAAAGATAAGAGCAGCAATGTCAATAGTTTTTATCAAAGATATAAGAGAATATGTAACGTTTATAAACTTAGTTCTAGTATATCGAATCAACATCAGTATCAATATTAATGAAATGAATTAAAGACTGGTAGTAGTCTTTGAAAGTTTCTTATACATGGATTGATGAAGTCCACGTTACATAATCCAACATATTTCTACCAGAAGAATAATTTGTGACGTCCCAACAGAAGTATAGTAATAGTATTTTATACTATTACAGCATAATTGACGCCTATTTCTAACTAGAGTCCCTTAAGGCTGTGTATAATAAGTAAGAATTAAGTAAAAGTAGCACATGGAGTAATAGTAGTAATACACTAGTAGTACATTTAACACATGTAGATAATTGATAGTACTAGTAGTAATAGTAGCAGTAGCTTAGTAATCGAAGTAAAATAGTTTTCAATCATGTATCAGTAGTGGATGCAGTACTGACAGTGATAGCGGTAGTATCAGTAGAAGTAGTAGTAGTAGAAGTAGTAGTATTATAGTGGCAGCAGCAGCAGCTGTGGTTACAATATCAGTAGGAGCGGTAGTAGTAGTGGAAGTAGTTGTTATAGAAGAAGTGGAATAAGTACACTAATTGTTGTAGTAATAGTTGTATCAGTAATAGTAGTAGAGATAGTAGTATTAGTATTAGTATTAGTAGTGGTAGTGGTAGTAGAGATACAAGTGGTAATAGTAGTAGTCATCGTTATATTAATAATAGCAGCAGCAGTAGTAGTAGTAGTAGTAGTAGTAGTAGTAGCAGCAGCAGTATCAGCAGCAGCAGCAGTAGTAGTAGTAGTAGTAGTAGTAGTAGTAGTAGTAGTAGTAGTGGTGGTGGTCGAAGTAGTTATGATATCAGTAGTAGTAAAAGTAGTTTGTAGCAGTATTAGTAATAGTAGTATGTAGAAGCAGCAGCAGTAGTAGTATTAGTGATGGTGGGATGGTTGTTATGGTATTAATAGCAGTAGTAGTAGTAGTAGTAGTAGTAGTAGTAGTGGTAGGAGTAGTTATGGTAGTAGTAATAGTAGTAGTAGTAGTAGTAGTAGTAGTAGTAGTAGTAGTATCAGCAGCAATAGTAATCGTGTAGTAGTGGTATTCCATTTGTTTCCATTTAATTTATAATTTTATCATGGTAAGTCGCTTCAGCCTAAACGGTTGTTTAAAAGAGAGTCCGTAGACATATAACTAGTAGTCATAAAGTCATCGTAGAAATAAGAGTAGAAGTACAGTAGTAAGAGTAGCAACTATCGGAGCAACTCTAGAAGACTATAGTCAGAGCCTCAGCATATTTAAAAGTGCCAGCTTTTAATCCACTCAAGATATTATTCAAAGTCGATTATTTGAAGAATATTCTTAGAAACGCACATCATATTGATATTCAATACAAGTAATCAAAGTAACAATACACAAATTAACCAACAACAAAATAAATTCCACGTAAAAAATACTACTACTTGTACTAAAATAAATTATTCTAAAAAATTGCACGAATACAGGTGACAATAGTAAAAATATGATTAAGGAAAAAGTAAATAATTGCAAATTGAATCCTGAGTACTTAACAGGGAAGCTACATTACTGTACCTATTTCTTTTTTTTTCTGGTAGAAAAGCAGGGATTGAGTCGTAGTATAGGTACGTATCTGAGTAATAGTAGAATAGTAAGTACTGGTACATTAAATATAACGTATATCAGTATCAATCCGATGAAAAGAAATACTAAGGCAATTCCATGTACATAAAGAAATTACGACAATGTTGTTTTTTCTAGCCTTTTGACCAATTATCTAACTTATAAGACTTATTGACAATAAATGTTTCTTGTCATTATGATGAAGAGAAATTGGTAAATATGTGACATCGAATGATTTTTCTTTGGGGGATGTATCATTTCCGTTTCCATTCCCCTGTAACGTTTCCATCATTTCGCTCAGAGTTATATATCTCTCAAATAGAAGTAGTAGTGATAGTATTTGTATAATCTTTAGTAGTAGTATTATCAACAGTAGTAGTAGTAGTGGTGGTGGTGGTGGTAGTAGCAGTAGTAGTAGTAGTAGTGGTAGTAGTAGTAGTAGTAGTAGTAGTAGTAGTAGTAGTAGTAGTCGTCGTCGTGGTAGACAGATATGGTATAGTTGATAGTAAAAGTAGTGTTAGTAGTAGTAGTACAGTAGTAGTAGTTGTTGTTGTTTTCTGCTGTTTTAATTGTTGTAATGCGGGGGTATCAGCAGTAGTAGTATAGTACTAGGAGTAGTGATGGTGGTGGTTGTGGTGGTATTTAGTAGTAGTAGTAGTAGTAGTAGTAGTAATTTAATAAGTAGTATTCGTGGTTGTATTCGTTGTTGTAGATGCTGTAGTAACAATAGTGAAATTACATTTTGTAGTCGTATAAGTAGTATAATTTGTATGTTTTATAGTATGAACAGTATTATACATAGAAATTCTTAATAGCGTGGTGAGGATAGGTAACATAATATAAATACTTACTGAAATTAATCTATACTACTCTATTCAAAGATAAAATCACATTATGAACATCACAGAACATGACAGTAAATTCGCCTATAAAATTATTCATTTTGCCTCATAGCAGAAGCTTGCATAATTATCGTGAACTGTCCGGTAACTGTTTACGTATTGTGCAATAGGTCCACGTTTTATCAAATCACTATAAGAAGTAAACTCGAAGTTAAAGGGTGTTATAGCTGAGACTTGAGGTTCTAAAAATAACCCAAGACCAGGAAAAATTAAATTACAGTCATTTATCATCATGCAGGTAACTTTAAAGTTGAAAGGTGAAGTTGGGACCTGGGTTTCCAAGAACAAAACCTAAATTAGATAAAGGAAGTTAATTTACATTCACCCATCATTAGGTCTCGGCGTAGATACCAGGACCGATACATCAAAAACTAGTGGCCCGACATCTAATGTTGCCAATTGCTCCGGGCTTTATTTCGTCAAATATATAGGATAAGGGTTACATCTTCCATTTAGGTTTGAGGTTAGGTTCAGGGTTAGGTTACGGTTATGTTTGGGGTTTGGGTTAGTTTTAGGTGTCGTGTTGGATCTCAGGTTGAAGTTTAGTTAGTGTAGGAATTTGACCCGAAACAGTTGATGCAAGAGCAAGTTTCGTACAACCCCAAACCCCGATACAAGTCTTGGCAGATTCAATTCAATCATGAGCATATATAATACGATATGTATTTAATAGGGAGCATGTATAATATGACATGTTTTAGATCGGCATATCTATAGGAAATGGCTGCGTCTGTTAAATTAAAGACACTTTAGTCACCTAAGTTTAGTATATTGGTATAAAAACACACCTGTTTAAATCATCTGTAAATGGAGGTAAGATTTCAGGAAATTGTTGTAATTGCACATCATAATTTATGTCTTAACGTTACAATAAATGTCTCATCAAAAGCTGTATACATCATTTTATAAACCCATATTTCAGAACACCGAGCTACTGTTGTTAGAATATTCCTAAGGCATATAACTGAAAGTCCATTTGTCCTATTCTAAATAAGTTTTGCACATGATGATGAAGGGTTCTTATCAATCACTTTTTCAGTTTGTTTTAGTTCGGAGCTGTGCTTTGATAGAAGGAAGTTCTGGCGGTTTCTTGCGATGTATCATGCCTGTTATTACATGCATCGTAGTGGTTGGAGGAGGCTTTTGCGGCTTGTGTTGGGCGGGAATACCGCACTCTGACAGTCGATTGGTAGGAACATGTCCGGTGCGCAGGCGTGAACATTTGAAACACACACTTGCGAAAGTTCGCATTGAAGAAGATATAGATTAACGTATTGAACATACTGTTGCTCATCGCTAGAGCTTCGACCATGTAGAACACAGTGTTGATGATCTTATATGAAGATTCCTGGCGCGTTTGAAGGTAGAAGTCCCTAGCTATTGAGAAGCCGTTGTAAGGCGCCCAACAAACAGCGAATAATCCAACGACGATGATGAGCATGCGTATAGTTCGCCTCTTAGACGCTTCCGCAGACGCTTCTTGTTGTTCTGTAAGGTGATCGCATGGCACTTGACGAAACCATAACCGCCTGGCGATCAGGAAATATATAATGCACATGAGGAGAAGGGGGAAGATGAACTCGCCGATGACGAGGAACAGAGTGTTAGCTTTCAGAGCGGAGTTTTGCCAACCCATCTCGCCGCACTGCGTCATTATTTGTCCTCCTGGTCCTACTATGATGAATGTCTTGCTGTAGATTGCGGTTGGAATAACGACTACGGCGGAGACTATCCAGATGAAGATGAGGATGGTCATGGTGGTGTTATGGGTCATTCTAGGTCGAAGAGGGTTCATTATCGTCAGATATCTGCAGAAGAAACAGAAAAAATGAATTTGTAGATTTTTAACAAAATATCCGTCGAATAATACGTAATCAAACATTTTTGTACAAAATTACCTTGGAGACAGCGATATTTTCCGACGAATGGATTATCACCAATCACCCAAATTGTACAGTGTAAAGCTCTCTAAATACAAATATATACTTTTCAGGTAGAACTTCATATTCTTCGATTTTTCAAAAATGTTTGTAGGCCTGTGGGGTTCCAAAATTTGAAAGGGGCGGTGAATCAGTGAAATGCAAGAGCACCAGGCAATACAGAGGTATAGCGAAGTCTTCTTTTCACCTTGCCGCCACCTTTCCTTATATTTCTTTCTTTCTTAAACAATATACGAACAAAATAGGGATAGGATTTAAGGGAGAGTAGTTTACATAAGATATTTTGGCTGTATTGATAGCCATGCGAAGTCAAATTTGAATGAAACTTCAAAGCTGCACTTTCACTTCAGAGTTATTTAATGGTGGTTGTGCTTTACGTCCATATTTTGTCTCCGTCCTCCTCCATTTCTCCCTTTTATTCATTCTCAGTAACTTCTGAAGTATGTTCGTTATTGTGGTTATTGGATCTTCCAGCCCCGAGGGTCCTTCAATGACTTTGATAGAGATAAATGAAATGCAATCATGAAACCATTTACATTACAATGGGCATTTGATAGTCACACCCTTGATCTACTTTTTGATCAATTGCCACATTTCTGATCAACGTCTACAAAGTGAACTAGCTCCTTGAACCAATATTATCCGTCATTTTCCGTCTTTCTTTTGTCCTTTTGATGCCTCAATTAGTCTGCGAGATTATTGCTACGCTCTCTACTTTACTCAAAAGACAATTCCATATACTTTGAATATTTCCAAGTACTCATTACGAAATTACTTTCCAACCTACAATAACAGCAACCCTAAAACCGATTGAAATTTAAACCTCAATAGGTTCTTTTCTCAGGCGACGTAAATTTGGGATAAAGATTTAAAAAATAATAAAAGGAATGCCACCTGGACGAAGTAGGGTGCAAATAAAGAACTAGAGCGGGTTTAAATGATCGCCAATAATGGTACAGAATCTAACTTTGTAAGTGGGCTGTTAATATCATTTACGAGTGCAAGATTTGAAATTTTCTTCTTTAGTATTTACGATAAGGTCTTGTCTTCATAGTCATCGTATGACTGTTTTAAGACCCCTGAGGAGGGGGCTCGTGCTGAGGGCTCGAGCACCCCCATGTTTCCAACAGGCTTCTTGTCGTCCATTTAGCAGACCTCATCATTTAATTGGCCACTGTATTACTTCGACCGCCCCTCACTTCCAAAATGGGTTCACGACGCAATCCTTACAACATACTCCCAATCCTCACTCCGTGAATGGATAATTCAACTTCAACTTCAGGAAGCAAAAAAGGTAAAGCTCGGGATGGTGAAAATGGATGTAATAATGACGTACCCTGAATTGATGTCCTTCGATCTCCCCTATTACCACCAAATACTCTTCTCAATCAGGGGATATCTTAGATCACCCCTCGCTAGAAATACAAAAAGTCAACCGGTCGTATATGACGTCAGCAAGGAAGAGATCCCTCTCGAAAGCTTTAAAAGCTTCGAAGTCAGGTACTCCCATGGGACGAGGCAATTCAAAAGCAGGACAAATAATCCTGCCCCCACAAAGAGCAGAAAATGTCGATGGCATTGGATTTATAGGTTCGCAATTGGAGTAGAAAGCTTATTGTTCCGTTTCCTCCAGATGTCTCTACTGATTCAGATAGACATTCTCCCCCAGTGGTCTCAATCATTTATGATTTAAATCACAGAGTTTCTCTCTTTAGGTATTTCAGCAATGTACCACAGAAAAAAAAGTCGGTTTAAACTTTAACCCCCTCTTCCCCCTTCTCCAACAAAACAGTAAAAATACGGATGATGTAATTGAAAACAGACTATTCCCACTCTGTAGTGTGTGTGATAAGGACCGTTGTACACGAAGCGTCATTTCACTGACGTTGTACTGCGTCAGCGACTGACGTGGTTTTTGACGCGACAAGTGAAAGTAACAACTTACAGAAAGCGAACGCAACAAGAACAGTGCAAACATCGATTTGAATAACTGGTGCGAAATTATTATCTCACTGCCGTCACAGACACGATTAGCGGATGCAATAACGTTATCGAGATGACGCCTCGTGTGAAGGAAGAGAGTGAACATGGAATGTTACCTCTTTTGTTCGATATAAATAAAAGAATTTGATATAAAAACAGTATAGATGAGTTATAATTTTCGTTGATACCACGCCGTATATATATATATATGTATATATATATATATATATATATATATATATATATATATATATAATAATAACGAGATACCGAACACAGTGAAACTTCGTCATCAAATCATCATGAATGACTTTTGCCCTGGAAACATACCAATAGCAAAGAGAAGAACTGTCCTCAATAAGTGGAATTGCGTTGATGGTCAATTTGGGAGCGTGCGCCTAGTGGATTTTAAAATTGTTCGACAATTCTTAAAGAACACAAAAGGAAAGGAACAAAGATGCCTCATTTTGTTTTTCGATGAGAATAATACGCAAACTTATTTCATAGACTGCTGACAAAATGCCAATTGATAATTTGGAAAGTGAATAAATAGAAATATGGATTAGTAATCATTAATCCGAGAAGTATCACGTTACATTATGGTTCGTCGCACAAAAAAAACGGTCTTTTATTTCTTAAATATATCTTATATATAATTTAAATGATAAAATACATTTCAAGAATACTTTTCGATTTGACGTCTATATTACAAACGAACCAGCATCTCAATTCATAGAGACAAAAATCCTTACAGAATCCTTCGCAACCTAACTTACTGCTTCTCAAAACAACGGAAAATCACACTTTAAATATAAAGGACGGGTCACTTGAAAGCGAAATTTCCCAGGATGGTAATTACATGGCAGTTATCTGTGGAGAATATCCGTCAAAAAAACTTCGTGCCTCGCAGCCAAAGGAAGCGGAAAATGTTACCCCCTATCAGCAAGTGATCATGCCCCCAAGCTCTTAAAAGCTCTTCAGTGCCTTTTTATTCCAGTCAAAGTGGTCCCGGATGATCGTAAGTAAGGGTAGAGGAATCCCAAATTGGCACCTATAAAAATGATGATGGATAGCCTCGGAGGATGACGACAGTTGTGGGGTAATGAGACGGAGAATGCTCTTTTCTTTCTAGTTCAAGTCAAACCCATTCGTGCAGAAGATGAATCTTTCTCATGTTTCAGAGAATGTCTCTTTTTAGATTTTACAGGAGGGAAAGTTGGAAATAAATTGATGAAAAGATGAGGCAGATAGAGAGAGAGAGAGAGAGAGAGAGAAAGAAAGGAAAGGAGGGAGGAAGAGAGATGAGGAAAGACATAAAAAGAAAAAGAAAGCGAGAGCTGATTGAATTAAAAACTAATGATGGGAAAGAGGGTTAACTGAGGACTACTAATAACTACTATAATTATGATAGACAGACAGGGAATGAGAGAAGAATAAAAAAGGTGAAATAGGGAGAAAGAATTGAATTAACAGGACCGATGAAAAAGGGAATATACTATAATGTCTCTTTTTCCACATCTACTGCAATAATGCTTTCGCGTTGTGTATGTATCCAATAGAATGCGATTGGAAGATCGAGATCAGAATAAAATATCACAGGTTTCTAATATTTTCCGAAACATATAGGTATTTACATATTGTATTTCACCTTCGAGATCGAGTATAAAACCACTCTCGAAATACGTACATGTATGTACATTTGGGAATCACGAAACTTTGAAATTGTGAACTTCGGAGTAACGAACCTTCGGAATTATGACCCATCGGGGAAAAAAACGGCATGAAACCGTGATATCTATGTGTTCCTCTTTTCAGTTCAGGGTGGTGTTTCACAATGGCTTTTTTCAATGACAAATGACATCAATCAGTGACAAATCTGCTGATAACCAATCAGAGGCAAGGATTTCAGTAGCTTAAAACAAAAACTGTCATTTGTCACTGATGACAAGTTTTGTGAAACAACCCCCCCCCTGGACTTTCTCAACTCGTTCGCAATATCTTATCAGTTTTCTCTTGTCTTTTTGTTATTGTTATCTGACAAAATCATCTTGTTAATGAATTCATGAAGCATCATGATCATGCAGATATACCATGTTCTGTGTCGATAAGATCAGTTGCCAATGCATTATTATGAACTAAAGAGCTATTATTCTGCAAGTTTGTAACTGTTGTTAGTACATCTAATAACTTGTGATTATTCTAATTTGTGATTTTCCCCCTTTGGTAAGTATACCAGTAGAAAAATCTAGAAGATGAACAAGAGATAATCAATTCAGCTCGATTCATCATCGAAATATAAAAATAAGTTGATAATCACATAATATAGTTCTTTATATTTCACCGAATTAAATTCAACTGCACCAAGATTCAAACATGATTATGTATCAAGTTAAAGTTCGAAAGGTACAAATTATAATAGTCTTAAGCATTATCCTTCTCATTCTTATTAAAAATAAACGAAAACAAATATCTTATATGATATTATAATTCATAATTGGCACAGTTCATTAAAATCGACCCAGAGCTTAATTTTGTTTTTATCTTTTCAAATTGTAGATAATACTGGACTCCACTCGTCTGTACTAAAGTATGAAATATCACAGCAAGAAAGCATTCACCTTGTAGCAATTATATTATCAATTTACTTCAAATCAAGGATGTGCAAGTCATGAATGTGTGTGTCCATCCAAGTTTTTATTTCCCTCATGCGATTGTCTATACAGAGTGAGACTTCATGCCATGGATGTCATTTTGTTAGGCACACCGGGATATCGGTAGTTGTATGGACAGAGAATTAAGCTATTGTAGTACCTACGCGTTGTAAGATTTAGGCTATTTACGTGCTGAAATAAAAAGTTTACTGAATAGACAACAAAATCTATCCCTATCACAATGCTACAAAAAGTACAAAAAGTACAAAACTCTGCCTGTATGGTCGCACCCGATATCTCCGTGTGCACAGCTTTCGTGTGAGTGTGTGTGTGCGCGAGGGGCCGCCAGGGCGTGCGTGTGTGTTTGTGCAGGTGAACATACGCGGTGGGTGCGAAGTGGTGTGTTGTTTTATGCCGGGCGCCACGGCCAGTGGGTTCTCCAATGTCACGCTGAGTCTCAGCGGCCCGCTCATCGATTTGTCTGATTAGTGATATTTTTCTAAGAGGGCCATGCCGGGAAAATTTGTTTTTAGTCCGCAAATCGAGAGGAAAGACAAGACAGACCCGTCTAATTAATTCCCCCATGCCTAATTTAGCGGTTGGAAGGTTGGAGACGTTCTGACGGAGCTTAGGTCGTTTACCCAATGAGAAGCCTTCGTCTCCCCATGACATGATTAAAAAATGCAGGAAATCAAGATTTTAGTAAAAAAAAAAAATACATATTTTAATTTAGTGTTTAGTTCAATCGTTATGCAATTTAATAATAAAAAAAATATATATATGCCGTGAATCTTGATGGGCCACTCAAATGAATTCCTACATATCCTAGTGTAACGTTTCAGTTCTCTTGGTATAGTTTTAAAGAGGCCGTCGACGTTTCCTATAGAATAAGAAAGCTATTAGTTTTTAATGTTTGCATTATTACTTCCTTCTACATATGAGTTGCACAATCATACAAAGTATAATTTCAGAAAAGTAATAGGCTCATATTTAAAGGAAAGCAATCAACCTATAGCGTAGGATAATTAACCGAAGATATACAGCTAACAATGTTCTAGCAATTGCTTTTCTAGGCGTTTGCATCTTCACTATGCGAGAACATAGACGCCGATTAGTAGCATAAACACATGAAAAGGAAATTCGCTAAATTTATGAAATTTGGTCAAAAGGATAAAGCCAATGGCCTGTTTTAAAATATCAAACATTCCAATGATATATCCTAGCACAATCTTTCAAGGTAAAACAATGATATCATGGCGTTGAAATTAACCTGGAGTTAATTATTTGAAGGTGTTCAGGACCAGACATTGTTCTTTCTTCTTATTCCCTTCCCAAGTCTCATGGTTTCAAACATGTCAAGCCTGATGTGGTGTACTATATCAACTTCATTCAAATGCATTTACTGTACCTGTCTTTCCTGTTAACCTTTACTTAGCACTCAAAACCTATCCATTATACTCCTCCTTGTTCAACTTAACCTGTATTGCTAATTCACCTGCCACTCGATCTCAT